TAGAACGAGCTGGAATTTTCAGCATGCATACATTACTGAAACAGTGACGTCTGCGTTGGCTTGGGGACATCGTGAGAATGGCTGATGGTCGGATTCCAAAGGATCTCCTGTATTGAGAATTAGTGTAGGGAAATCGCCCCAGAGGGAGACCACAGCTGCGATACAAGGATATCTGCAAGCGGGATCTGAAGGCCTTAGGAATAGACCTCAACAGATAGGAAACTCTGACATCTGAGCGTTCAGCCTTGAGGCAAGCATTACATCACGGCCTCTCCCAATTTGAAGAGACCCTTGTCCAGCAGGCCGAGGCAAAGAGGAAGTCACAAAAGCAGCAAAACCAGGGAACTGGACAGGGGACAGATTGGATTTGTCTTCAGTGTGGAAGAGATTGTCACTCTCGAATTGGCCTCCTCAGCCACACTAGACGCTGTTCCAAGTCCTCCATACAGAGCACGTTACCATAGTCTTTCGAGACTGAAGGATGCCTACATGTCCGACTCTTCGTGACCCTATCGCTTTCCTCCCAAGAAGCAGGTGTCTTTTAATTTCGTGGCTGCTGTCACCATCTGCAGTGATCATGGAGCCCAAGAAAGTAAAATCTGTCACTGCCTCCAAATCTTCCCCTTCTATTTGTCAGGAGGTGATGGAACCAGTGGCCATGATCTTAGTGGGTTTTTTTTATGTTCAGCTTCAGACAATTTTTTTGCACTCTCCTCTTTTGCTCTCATTAAGAGGTTCTTTAATTCCTCCTCACTTTCTGCCATCAGAGTGGTATCATCTGCATATCTCAGGTTGTTGATATTTCTTTCAGCAGTCTTAATTCCGGCTTGGGATTCATCCAGTCCCACCTTTCACATGATGTATTCTGCATATGAGTTAAATAAGCAGGGAGACAATATGCAAGGGAGATAGGGAAAGTTACAGAATAGTGAATGCGGACTTCCAAAGAATAGCAAGGAGAGACAAGAGGGCCTTCTTAAATGAACAGTGCAAAGATATAGAGGGAAATAATAGAAAGGGAAAACCAGAGACCAGTTCAGAGACACAAATTAAAAGACGCCTGCTTCTTGGGAGGAAAGCGATGACAAACCTAGACAGTATCTTAAAAAGCAGAGACATCACCTTGCTGACAAAGGTCCTCATAGTCAAAGCTATGGTTTTTCCAGTAGTGATATATGGAAGTGAGACCTGGACCATAAAGAAGGCTGACCACCAAAGAATTGATGCTTTTGATTTGTGGTGCTGGAAGACACTCTTAAGAGTCCCCTGGACTGCAAGGAGAACAAACCTATCAATTCTGAAGGAAATCAACCCTGAGTGCTCACTGGAAGGACAGATCCTGAAGCTGAGGCTCCAATACTCTGGCTATCTCATGAGAAGAGAAGACTCCCTGGAAAAGACCCTGATGTTGGGAAAGTGTGAAGGCAAGAGGAGAAGGTTTCGTCAGAGGACGAGATGGTTGGACAGTGACATTGAAGTGACCAACATGAATTTGACCAAACTCCAGGAGGCAGTGAAAACAGGAGGGCCTGGCATGCTCGGGTCCATGGGATCACGAAGAGTTGGACAGGACTAAATGACTAAACAGCAACAAGAAGTCTTTTTAAAAGTTGGTGGGCTAAAATCAGTTTTTAAAATGAAGTCATAGTCCTGGCTTTTGTTCTCTTCTCTCTTATCTTTCTTAACTCTCTAATTCCTAATCCTTTAACAGTCAGGACAGTTGTGGGCAATAGTGGGAAGAGATGGGGTTTTGTCACTAATAAAATGCACATACGTAAAGCTTTTCTGGAGGTATTGTTTCTCTCTCTAAGCTGAAATCACCATTTATCTGAAGGGCTTCCATTCCACCAGAGGCAGAGAATGCTTTGATTCACAGGGTAGTATCTTCTTCTACAGGAAACATATCTTTTCTGATCTTGGCTTCCTGACAAATTCTTCCACTGGAAGAAAGAGAAGCTTTTACTCTGTGCATAGACTGATCCTGAGTCATGTGAAAGCAATGTGATGGCGTATCCTTTCTCATAGCTTTCTCTCTACTCATTAAATACAGTTACAAGGTTTGGTGGTGATTTTCAAAACTGGGAAATATTACCTTTCGGGGTTGAAATTCCCACAACTGCCATCAGGTAACTTTCTCAAGCTTTGGTAAGTTTCAAGAGGGAACATCTAGAGATATACGCTGGGTGATGTAATCTTGAAACGTTCCAAATCAACTTTGATGATTAATGTGATTAGAGCCAAGGTAACAGGACAAACATCTTACAATCTTACAATAACAGCAGAAACATCTTGCAATGGTCTAGTGCAGAGCAAGACAGAACCTCAAGCCTAAGGTCAATTCCCCATTGGTCGATCTCTCTGGATATCCTCATGGTAGCGAAGCAATAATTTGGGGATAGAGGCATGTACATGCCTGGTTTGTTAACTTAGGTCCGAGGTAAGAATGCCCTTTGACCTATTCTGAAAACACTGGTTGTGTTCAGTGCCCGTACAAGAGCCCTAAACCTTTTTCCTTGTCACTCACTAGGCAGGGAGGAATAAGGGGAAAGAGCCAGACAGAATGATGTGGCAGGGAGCAAGAGAAGGGGGTGGTCTTGCCGACTGGTGGCTGCCTGTGGCCCCCTTCACTGTCAGCTGCTGTCATTTACTCCTTGTGACAAATTATCTCAGAGCGAATGAAGTCCCTCACAGAAGGAAGCTTGCCCTCCTCCCACCATCTACAACCACCATCAAAGCTGTATCATCAAAGCTCTGCTCAATATTGAAGCAGAGCAATTGCCAGGGTAGGGATGGCATACTATCAATGTGCGCTACAGCATAACTACCATCATCCT